TGTGTCTAATTATGTTAAGTAACTTGTGCATGTATATATATGCATTGATGTAAATATAATATAAATATATAACGTACTTATATGCTATAACTTAATACAATTATGGTATCACTCATATACTATTATGCGGTTATTATTATATATGCATATACAGATGTATGATATTCTACGCTCATAAATATCTACCATGTATTATATAACTACTAGTATATACTTGTATGTATGCCTTAATAGACATTTATATTAATATTCTACGCATGTAATTTAGATCCTTATATATATATATGTGTAGAAACTATGAAAGTAGTATAACTTGATTATCATAAATAATATTACTATAGAACTATCAAATAATATATAGGAGATATTGTGCTTGAATATATAATTATATATATACATATATTTTCTGATATATACTATATCAACTATATATATACATGTATAGTAATATATCATATAATGGTATAATTATACATTATTATAACTATGTATACATAAAATACTATTATTATATAATATGTGTATATACAATATAGAATATTGTTAGTTATTATATTCTATAGTATATCTTGTATATGTATATTATTATTCTGTCTCTATATAGGTTAATTATATATGTTAACTTGTAATATATAATATTTTATATAGTTATATAATATACTAGTATATTTTAACTTTACGATATATATATATATTATTGTTGTGCGGGTGTATGTGTGTGTGTGGTGTGTGGTGTGTGTGGCGGATGTGTGTGGGGTGTCTGTGTTGTGTGGTGTAGTGTGTGTGCGTGATTGTGTGTAGGTATGTGTGTGTGTTTGTGTGTGTTGTAGTGTTATAACCTCTTTCCTCTCTCTCTCTCTCTCTCTCTCTCTCTCTCTCTCTCTTCTGCTCTCTCTCTCTCCTTCTCTCTCTCTCTCTCCTCCTCTCATTCTCTCTCGGCTCTCTCTCTCTTTCGCTATATTAGTATATATATATATATATATTATAATATATATAAAGTATATATATTATGATATAACTTAATATGTAGTTATATATATAAATGCAACTATACATATTAATTTATATAGATAAATATGTATATTTATAAATAGTAGTATTAGTACTATATAATTCCTTATTAAATTTTACTATTCTCACGTATATAAATTATACGATCTATGAATATCAGATGTATTATCATAGCTTGTATATCTTTTTATAGTTAATCTCTATACATTTATATCGTAGTTATCATCATATAGTACTCATCAATGTATGTTTTAGGCTAATATCTATCTATCTCATCTTTCTCTCTCTCTCTCTCTCTACTCTCTTCTCTCGTCGTCTCCTCGTCTCCGTATCTATACCGTATTATAATATATAGTACCTTATCATTACTTAATATATTGTATATATATATTTATATATATGGTATGCTCTACTCCTACTCTCTTATCTCTCGTTATATTATTTATAACCATATATTACATAATATTACAGGTTGTATGTGTGTTTGGCTTTTGTGTGTCTGTATATGTGGTGCACTCGTGTGACTGTGTTTGCAGCTGTGTGTTGTTGTGATTGCGCGACCTTCAAAAGTCGCTATATCCAATACCTGCTGAATCTCTTCTAAACTCCCGACGACCGCTATGAGCAGCAGCGTTCATGCAAGGCGGGGCGACGGCAGGCGCTGGACTTCAGCACCTAACCAGTCCAAATTGCGAAAGCCCGGCTTTCACCGCCGATGGAGGGACGTTGCGACAGCCTCGCGCGCCGCGGCGGCGGGGCGGGAAGCGCGGCGCGGGCGCAAGGTGTCGGATCAAGAAAAAATGGCTATTTCTATATTTGTATATGTATAGGGTATATGTACGTATGTATATAGTACTATCTAATCAAAACTATATTTAATTATTATACTGATTATATATGTGTGTGATGTGTGTGTGCTGTGTGGTTGCTGTGTTGTGTGCTGCTTTATCGCTCGCAGATAAAAGCCAATCACTGTGTTCGTTTGTGTGTGTGTGGTGTGTGTTGTGTGTCTAGTGTGTAGTGCGTACTAATATATCAGTATGTTTACCAAACGCTCTCAAGGGTATTCCCACTGCATTGCCTATATTTTAGTATTGGCATTAACGCGCACTGTGGTGTAAAATGTACTGTGTATGTATGTGTGCATCATATTAATGATTCTATTATAATAGCAGTATAATGCACTACTGGTATCTGTTGCTATCTATCGTAGACACACGCGCGCTCAGGTTTGTGAGTATGTGAATATATATGTTAGATTATATATTGGAGTATATCTATTATATATTGATATATTGCTATCTACAACATATAATATCATATACACTCACACACACACACACACACACACAGATATATTCATAATACATTCGCTATACCATATGCATATATTATATATATATTATCCTATATATATAATATATAGATATATACACACACACCCAGCCCACCACAAAAAACACATACACACACCACGACACACAAACACACACACAGTATATATATAGCTAGGTTATATTATATATTACAATATAATATATGTACTACTATATATAGTTATATATATTATATATTACACACATACACAATGTTTGTAATGTATATATATTGTATATATATATACACGCATTTGTACGAACACCCATACGCACACACACATCGCATACAACACACAACATATAATATAGATTAATACTATATGTATAATACTTTACTATAGATATAATATATCGATAATATTATTCTTCTCAGGTAATATACTTATAACATAGTGTATATATAGACTGCTGTCTATGTAAGATGTTAATATATTTTATGTTTATACATATATACTAGAATTTTTATAGACAGCTGTCCTTGTATATGTAATATATTCTATTAGATACCTTAATCACTTGATGTATATAGACAGCTGTCATGTATATTGTAACTATATATATTAACACATATGTAGAAAGTGACAGACATCATAGATTATGATATAGATATAGATATATGATAATGAATTATTTTACATATATACCATAGTATATTAGCTCTATATGCAATACACTATATATAGGTATAATGTCTGTTGTGTGCTGTGTGGAGTGTTGGTGTGTGGGGTGTTGTGTGTGTATAACATGTTATAAGGTTATAGTCATAAGTTATTATAGTATGGTATGATATTATCCTAATATATAATGTATATCTTATTATATGTTTATATATATTCTATACCTTATTAGATATATCTGTTGATATTAGTATATGTAATTTATATGTGTTTTGTATAGTAAAGGTTGTGTGCGGTGGTGCATTCATATACTACATTACGAATGAGACATCATCGTATTAACCATATGCACTATTTTACTAATATGTAATATTAATCTATATTATACATTACTTATATGTGCGTGTGAGGGTGTTCTGTTGCTTCTATGATATATATCATAGATTGTAATTGGTTATCTATTCTTATCTATTGATCTATTCTTATCTATCTATCATCTATCTATCTATTACATTAGCTTGTATTAAGTGTTATATATATGATGTATATATTATGGTATAGAATATATATATATATTAATATATAATATTACGTATTTATATATTTATATTTAATATACATGCACATCACATAGTATATTGCACCAAACACATATATATGTCTATGGTGTGTGGTTATATATATATATTATTATATATATATATATATATTAAATATTTATATAATATACATATATATAAATTATTATATATATATATATGTATATTATATATGATATTAATGTGCGTGATGGTGTGTGTGTGTGCGTGTGTGTGTGTGTGTGTGTGTGTGTGTGTGTGTGTGTGTGTGTGTGTATGTGTATGTATATGCATACTTATATGCATATACATATATACACACACACACACACACACACACACACACACACACACACACACACACACACACCACACACACACACACACATACTATATATATATATATATATATATATATAATATATATATATATTATGTATATTGTATGTGTAGATGTGTTTTTTTTCTGTTTATATGCTTACAAGCACACGCATGTATAAAATATATACATATAATATATATATATATTATATATATATATTATGTATGTATATATGTACATATATACATATAATATATATAATATATATATATAATATATATTATATATATATATATATATATATGTATATGTATAAATGTAGAGCACACACACACACTCAACACATACACACAAACACACAGAGAGAGAGAGAGGAGAGAGAGAAGAGAGAGAGAGAGGAGAGAGAGAGAGAGAGAGAGAGAGAGAGAGAGAGAGAGAGAGAGAGAGAGAGAGGAAGAGAGAGAGAGAGAGAGAGAGAGAGAGAGAGAGAGAGAGAGAGAGAGAGAGAGAGAGAGAGAGAATCAAAATAAAATATGACAGCATAAGGGTCAATACCACTGCTTGCCTGAAAACAATCGTTTCAAGAGATAAAAGGCGAAATGGCTAAAAGGAACCCCAATGCACCTACTGAACATGAACTGAGCTCCTGAAACAGGTAGAAAGGCCAGAAAATATCCACATACAAAATTCTGAATTCCTTTAGCTACCCGGAATTTCTCTAAGGAACCGTAGTATATTTTTAAGTAAGGCTCGGTGTAAGATGTCAAGAATATAAAAATAAAGTTGCCTGTTCTACAATCATCTGTCCTCGTTGGTCACTAGTGCGCCTGTGCGGGAGTGTAACGGGATGTGGCACCGTGGGCGAGAGGCAAGGCAAGACCACTGGTGCTATTTAGCTTCTCAGAGCGCAAACTCGCGGCCGCTTTTGATTTTAAATTAGATATCTTGTTTAGTAGAATCTTTCGTTAAATTCAAGGGATTGACTTGACATAGAATAGACAAATGTCTTAAATTGTATCAAGAAATGTGATTTTTTTTATTACTGAAGGGACATTTTGCACTGTAGTCATTCAAAAAGGGACCTGCCCGGCGGAGCGAAGGCGCCATGAACTAGACAACTTCACCGACGTCGCAGCGGAGTGTCAGGAGGGACTCAGCGGGATCGGGAGAGAGGAACACCAAGTCTCAATTTTTCTTTTCAGCGATTAACCCAAAGAAACTGCCAATATGGTAAGATTCGAGGTGACACCCCAACGCGGGAGTTATTCACGTGTCCTCCCAGCCCTAAAGAGAAATGGGTATAAAGTGACAGCTGGGAGCAAAAAGGGGAAAAGAAGAGGTTGTTTTTTGAAGGATTTGTGTCGGGCGAGAAATCAATGACGGGAAGATCACCTGTTTTTTCCTCGACCGGATGTGTTTCAGTAATGTAATTAAGATCCCTAGCCCTCCTAATGGATTATACGTGTCCCTTTATGGCTCTATTGCCTCTAGAATGAACTAGATCTGATACTGTTAGGCGGCGACATGCCTGGGAAGATGTCAAACAAGTCGTTCAAGATCCATAGTTATTTTTGCTATTATTTATTTATTATAAAAGTAATTTCCCAAGTAAATTCAAAAACTAGTATATATAAGAATAGATTATTGTTCTTTTTAATCAATCTATTACAACTTTAGTTAAATATGTTTGTCTACACTGGAGTCAGGGATGTACAATGTATAGGCCTATATTTATATTTCACTTCCACAAGGATTTGAAACTAAAATAGATGTTAAATAGAATCGAATAAAAGAAATATATGAGTAAGGAAACGACTCTATAAAGTATTCACAGTGTAGAAGAAAGTGTTCATGGAAAAATGGGATAATAATCTTGTGTACTTTTGCAGACAACATCACTCTCCTTAATGTGTTTATAGTTCCAGAAACATTGTTGTTGTTAATATTATTATTATTACTATTACTACTGCTACTGATACTATTACCATTACCATTAGTATCACAAATATTATTATTATCATTATTATTATTTTTATTATTATTATTATTATTATCATTATTATTACTATCATCATCATCATTGCCGGTTTGTAATATACATGAAAGGGCTAAACCATACATATATATTTATGGGGTTATATTTATCAGGTAGATATACTTTCGTTAATTGTGCAAAATCTCCAAAACTTTGGACTGGTATTTGAGATGCCTGACTTTAAATTTTGGAAGTAATTTGTTTTGTTTGTTAATGTAAAGCTGGTTCATTATGATATGTTATGTTCAGAACTCCTTGTCTTACTAGTCCAGACCACTTGTCTGGATCGCCAGGATAATGAGCCTCCAAGACTCTCACTGCCCAGAACGCAACCAGCTCGAAAGTAAACATTCATTCTTCTATCATACTGGTGTCTTTATTTTACATGCTGCATAGGTTTTGTAACTCCTTTGATCCTTATTTAACTTACCTGCAACAGACAAACACAAAAATATCCTTTGATAACATCAATAAAGGGCCATGAAATTACCCATCAATATCTTGTGGTTGTCTGCAACTGTCATTGTTTACATACAAATGCTATTGTGAAGTCATCTCGTCCTGCTCGCCCAGCTTTGTAGGAGGGCGAGATGGATGAGATGGACAAGTTGTCCAGGACGAGAAAGTGGAGGTTCGAAATGGTCAAAACATCTTGTCCAACTTGTCTGGACGAGGAGTTCCGAATGCAGCAGTAGGTGGGTTTATGGCCTAGACCTTTCCCTTGAAACATCACTGAATTAGAAGCTTAACGTTACAGCACTCTAAGGCTCTACCTTTAGAACTTATTGGTGTGAGGAGAAAATGTGAATGATAGTGTTCCATAAGGAAATCTGGCAAATTTGCGTATTGGATTAAGAATGTGTGGTTCACATATTTTCAAATGTGCTCAATAAGTGAACATTGTAATAATTCTGAATGACTAGTGTTCCAACCAAGAAATATCTGGAAAGATAAAAAATCAGTTAAGATGAATTCTCAGTCTAAGCTTTCGGCCAGTTAGTTAATATTGTGCAAAGCCTGACTCAATGAATATTCATATATATACGAACATACACATACTGGGAAATAAATGTATATTTGTCTTTCTGTCTGGAAGATATCCATTCATCTATCTATCTATCTATCCAGTATATATGCATGTCTAGACTGATAGATATGTGTTTACTTCTGTGTATGTGCATGTCTGTATAATGAATATTCTTTGGCTCAAGCCTCACGCAATTTCAACAAACTAACAGTTTCACTCCATGTCAGTCAGAAATGTGAGTGAAACATTTAAATTATTTACTATTAGAATATTTTTCTGGCATTGTAGAAGAGGCAAAAAAGTACGAAAAACATTTACCAATCCTGTTAATCTTTCCAGTATGGATGCACTAAGTTCTATTATATTTTTGTTAAGGACAAGAAGTGGCAGTCCTCAGTACAAGAAATGCTTTGCAGACACGAACAGTAGCGTCACAAATGAAAGAAAAAGATCACAGAAGGTGCCGCTCTCAGCCTGAGTACACTTGGTGCTCCCCGAGTTTCAGCACTATCTTACTGCGCATGCTGAGATGAAGACAATGTTTTGTGACGTGGAGTTAGGGACCTAGTCTCTGGTGAGAGCGTCCATACTGTAAAGAATTACCCCCAATTTTAGCGATATATAATTGTGTGGAGGAACTACAAGAAAAATGCATGATTTTTGTGTGT